GATTGCCGGACTTACAATATTTAATTTTGCCAGGGTTAGCCCAATGAGAATGTTTTCTAGGTCCGTAATAACGATTCTATTTCTTGCCAAAAATCATTTCTAAAAGGAGTATTTCTTTCTTTAAAATCTTCTTCAATAATATCTTCTGAACATAGCGGCGAGAGCTTGTTTTCTAGGAGTTTATTTGTTTTTAGGAAAACCTTGTCCTTGTATGTCCTATCTTTCTTTATTTGGTTAAAAGATTATTCTTGGGATTTTTGAATTTGCTTTCTAATTGTTCCCTCGAATACCGCAGACTTTGAGTGTATTATTTCAATGGGTTTTTCATTGGTTACTGAGTGTATTGACCTATTATATTTGTTAGTGGCCAAATGAATTAGTTCAGTAGTGCAGTAGTGTCGTTCAAGTTTTTTTTTCTAATTTAAGGCATCGGGCTTTTCTACCTGGCCGTTTGAGGTGCTGTGTAGAGGTGGCCCGTTGGAAACAGAGATATTGAAGTTAGTTAATATAAATGATTTTATAGATTCGGAGCTTAAAGATGTTTCATTTTTGCAACAGATGGTTTTTATCTTTGGAAAAAATTTACTATATTTAATACGTGTGCTTCTACATCTACAATAGTCCTCGATGCAATGGCCTGCACTGTGGCGAGTTTAGATAACTTATCTGCGCATGTAAAAAAAGGGAGAATTTTTCCCACAGAGGCAGGTATCGGTGTTTGTCCTATCGCCTGTTTAGATGGATAGAGAATGTACTTCGCCATGGAACACGGTTTTGCAATTCGAGGTTATTTCTGTTGCTAACCGAAGCCTTTTGGGAAAAAATAGTCCCTAAAGACTTGTTTTACGTTTTCCTGAGCTGCGGTGGGCCCTGTTGTGTTCTGTTATAACAATTTCTCTTTGTTCGTTCGTATTCGTTATGTCTTGCACAAGGTTTTTCGCATGTTTGAACGATGTGCTTGGAAATAATTCTACTAGCTAACTAGTATTGCATTTACTACTTTAGCATTAACTACATCTTGTAAAGTATTAAGCAAATTTTCTCGGTCAGCTATTTTTTTGTGTCTATCTTTTCTTTTAAGCAAGATGAGTGTGTCTATGGATGAACTATTTCCTTCTCCGTCTGCCACAAGATTTTCTTTGTATGGTTTATAAACCAGCTTTGCGCCGTGATCGTCAATATTTCCGTTCCAGTGCTTCAATTTTGAGCTAGGGTTTTTATCTGGGACGGCGAAGATGAGGGGCTGGTGGTCGATGAAGATCTGTAAACCTTATACCCCGTATAAGTAATTCCGGAGATTTTTCAAAGCTCTCGCTCGTTGGTTGCAAAATTTATTTCATTATCTCGTAGGGCACGTGATATCATCGTGATCGGTCGTCCATCCTAAGATAGAACTACTCCCAAACTAAAGCCTGTCGCATCTGTTGTCAAATAAAAAGGTCTGTTATAGTCTGGGTACGAGAGTAAAATATCTTGTTATGCTAGGATTTCTCTCAGCCTGTCCAATTTTTCCTTTTGTTCCTTGTTAATTTTGATGTCGATTTTCCTTGACTGGTATTTTCTTGTTTTTCCGATTTTTCCATTCGTGATAGAGCACCTAAAGTAGCTATCTAACCCTAGAAATTGTGAGGAATCACATTTTTTATTCTTTCTTTTATGTACATATATATATATATATATACTCACGACCCATGTAATCACTAGAAGGGATTTATAATTATAAGTTTAGCCTACGGCCCATAGAATAATCGCGTTCTTATTTGTAAATAGCAAATAGCTAGAATAGCCAGTTTCACAGAACACTCGGTCCGGCAACCACACAACAGGGCTACCACTCCGAAGAAACCACGATCTAAAGGGATTTTCTGGAAAAGAATGAACGGTCACACTGGACCGGGTAAATTGAGATCCACGCGGAATAAGTCGGCGTCATTCTCGATTTTACCGGGAACGACGGCGGCCGGGTGCCGTCCGTACCACCTGCCGCATTCCGTGACGATCCGCACCAACCACGCTGCAAACGGAGTAGCAGCGGCCGGCCAACCCAGTGCGTGGGACCCGCACTCACCCAATAACGACAACAGCGGCAACCTGGCCGAGTGAAACGAGGTGAGAGGAGTGCGGTTAGGGACAACGCGGCAGGGACCGAGTGCGAGTGGTTATGCGAGGATATAATAAATTAACCAATTGTTAGACTGTGAAAAATGAATGTGTTTTAGGTTCTCTGGATGTGTTGGTCATAAGTCCCTGCGGATACGCGGGGCAGGGTGTCAGTGTTGGTCATAAGTTCCTGCGGATACGCGGGCATGGTAGTTTTTTTTTAGCTAGATTTTCCATGCGGCTACGGGTAGAAATCCCTGCTAGAATTCCCAAGCTTCACGAGAGTGTCCTAAATCTTTGACCGATACTCCCGTCTTCAACTGTCTCAACAGATTATAAATTTATCTGAGGAGCATCCTGGGTTGACTAAGACGCCTACCCGAGCAATCGCATCCTTACAAAATAATCTATGGTCGAAATGCGTTTTAGGTGGGGGAAAATGTGTGATGGCCTTGACCTTTTCAGGTGAAGTTCGGAGCCCCCCTTGTGATACTATGAATCCCAAGAACTCAACGCTCTTTTTGAAGAACTTAGATTTTTCTTGGGATAGTCTCATGCCTGCTTCTAAAAGTTTTGTTAGGACCCAGTCCACGTCTTTAACATGGTCCTCCTTAGTTTTTGAGAATATTATAAGATCATCGACATACACATAGCATATCTTTGATTTTTCATCCCTTAATACATCATCGATGGCTCTCTGAAAAATGCTTGAGGCGTTTTTAAGCCCGAACGGCAATCTATAGATTTCGTATTTACCGTTGTTTATTGAAAAGGCCGTTTTTTCTCGGTCCGTTTCTGCCAGCTCTATTTGGTGAAAGTCTGACTTAAGGTCGAGTGTTGTGAAGACTGTTGATTCGCCCATATATGACAGTATTGTCGAAATTGTACGGATGGTGTATCTATCATCTGTAGTTTTTTAGTTTAATTTCCTTAATTCGATTACTAATTGCTACTTTTTGACCCCAATTTGGTCAGTACCTTTTTTGTCCATAACGCAAGTAGGGTTGTTATATGGAGATTCGGATGGCCTAATTACGCCCTCTGCAAAAAGTTGTTTAACTTCTGCATCAGTCCTTAAGAACGCTAAGAAGGAAAAAGGATGTTTTTGTATTGAACACAGAAACAATGCTTTTTATATTTACTTTGGTAAAGCTATAAATTAAATTTACAGTCCGCTGCCACGACGCCTTTCAGCCCCGGGAGTGGACTAATGTAATTCTTCGAGGTGCCTGTATCTAGTAATAATTTTATTACTCGTCCTGCTTCCGTAAGTGTAATGTAAGGAAGCAGGGACTTTACGCTAAAAAATTGTAGGAGTCTTCTAGGTCATTCTCTATTTCAGTAGGACTTGCCTGAGCAATGAAGTCATAATCTTCGTTGTCAGGACTTTCTTGTGGCATAAAATCAATTTTCTGCTGGGCTCGTACCGACTGTCCCTTATAAACAGAGACATCCATTAAGTCAGCAATAATTACTGGTTTTTGCTCTTGTTTTAATATTTGATGATATCGTCATTGTGTACGATTACTGTACTTTAATGAAATCATCATAATCCGGATTTTGATCTAGTTGATATTAACTGTAGTAAAATTAATTAAATTACTTCTATGTTATAAATAATTTCCCATGGTGACCTTTTATTAGTAGCCCTTCTTATATTATCTGATTCCAATTTTTTTATTTCTTTATAAAAACTAAATAAGTTCTCTAGTTTAAATCTGCGTAAGAATCGTACGTCAACACGTCTTTATTGTCTTGAATAAAAGATACTCGTGATAGGATAAAATAGGGTGTAGTATGAGCACCTGAGGTGCTCATATCCTCGTGTTTCTTTTTATAAACTTCCTGTCGAAATTATGATATCCCTTTTCTTTTCTGTTATCATTATGTGTCTCAAACATTTTCACTTGTGTATTTTTTTAAATTTCAGGAATATTATCGGGACCTATTTTATAATATAGTACGTCAAAGGGTTATTTGGTTCTGTGTAGAATGAATGAACTGATTATATTCTTGAGTGGCTCATATTACTGTTTCGGAATAGTCGGTTAAATTAAATTCTTCTTTTATGCATCGAGCTTATTCTGTAAATGTAGAATTTGCCTCGGGTCTGCGTTATGTAAAGTTAAGCCGCGCCTGTGTGCAAAAGATTAAAATTGGACCGAGGTTAATCTCGGTCATTAATACTTTGACTTGTGAAAATTGTTGAAGAAGTTCTATTTCTTTCTTTTCGATGCTTAATTTATTTTGTATTTCTTTTACTTTTAAAAATTTTGAACAGGTTGTTTGTGCACAATATATATCAATGTGTAAATTTTCGCCTTCTCTATTTGGGATTGGAGCTTCTCCAATTTAATTTTATTTGAATGTTTGATATATTTGTTTTTATTGCAAATTTTAAAATTTAATATATATTATTTTAATTTTGTAAATAAGTTCGGCCAATAATACAATCTACTGATTTGTTTATAATTTTCGTCGAGTCCCTGATGAGCTCTACTGTGAGTTTCTTCTATTATTTTAGGTCTTCCTCATCATCTACATATTGAAGGAATTTTCTCATATAAAGGAATTTATTCATGAAATTTTCTTTTAGAGATCTTTGAATTGTATTAAAAACATACATACATCAAATCATACATATGATTGTTCTGACAGATCTCTATCGGACAAATTGTTAATCTGAATTCGTGATAATGCATCAGCAACTACTTTAGTTTTACCTGGTTTATAAATTACTTTTGGAGTGAAACTTTCTATGAAGGAGTACCAGCGTTTCATTTCGATTTTAGGATTTTTATCGGAGATTGCAAAAGATAATGGTTGATGAACGGTTTCTTATTAGTTGCATAAACTTGGTCTGCTTTGGTCAAGGTTTTTAAATAAAACAAATTGTTTACCTTCTTGAGATGAAACTGCATCAATTGCGACGTCCGAAGCATCGATGGTCAAGGTACATTCTTTATTATCTTCCGGTTGAACCATTTCTACTTGGGCAATGAGATTTTCTTTGAGCTCGTTAAAAGCTTTAATCGCCGAGCCATGATACAGAATTAACATTTTTGTTGACACTCTTTTTGATGAGGTTTAGGCTTTAAAAGCTTAATTTAAAAATAAATTTCTATAACAGCCTGTAATGCCTAGAAAACTTTTAGTTTCCCAACATATTTTTTGGAAGCGGATATTTGACAGATAGAGCATAGGGATATTGTTTCCCGTATATTGGTCTGTCGTGAATTTTGAATGCTTTGAATGCTCTCTCATGATTTTTAGTTCCCAAGATATTTTTATATACTGAATTTTGAAGTTTTAAATATAGCCTCGCGGCGCTTCCGCTAATGCGGTTACTCCTGCTACTTGTTGTCGTCCTATGCGTCGTGGCTCCTTCAGCGGCAGCGCTCCTCACTGTCGGGACCGGCAAGGTTTTTTGCCTAGTAGGTAGTAGGTAGGACTAGGTTCTGCCTCTTCGCCTAGCCACCTTCATCGCAGGCTCCCTAAGATCGGTCTGGATTGTGTCGGCAAGGTGTATCGCCTACCAGGTAGAAATGGCTTCTGCCCCATCGTTCAGCCACTTTTATCGCAGACTCCTCGCAAGGACTTTTTGAGTTCGATTCAACCACGACCTAGCACCCGTTGGATCTCAACATTGTAGCCTCAGCCTTGTAGACTTGGCACTTGATTATCTTGCTACTGGTCTCCTTCAGCTCGCGTAATCGGGTCCAAGGTTCACTGCCGCACGGTGCGTCCTCTTTTTACAGGTCCGAAGTCCGCCAATTTACCGTTCCACCTTGTTGCACTTGCCGTATGAGGGTCCAAAGTACAGCTCGGTACCGTTAATTCACGGTGTCTCTGCTTCGCCCGGGTCCAAGGTCCGTCGTTTACAGTTTGCCTGTTGCCCTTGGCTCCTCCGGCATTTTCGCCTCTTCGCTGATGCTATGCAGCTCCCCTGCATTGGGATTTGTGGGGAGTTTTAAGACTTCTCACATTTCACCCTTTCTTCGGAAACGTGACGAAAGTGGTGATTTTCCCACCCCCTGATGTTCGTTCATTCAAATTCCCTGCCAAACTCGTACTCCTCGTGATCCCAAGACAGTTCCCCGAAAGACTTCAACTTTCCCTAAAATGTTCCCGAAGACTTTCTCAGACAACGCCCTGAAGGAAATTCATCTTTCCCATGGATGGCTGCATAAGACTGTACTCCGTTCCCCATACAGTTCCCCGAAAGGTTTTGACTTTCCCAAAACTACATCTCGTTGTGCGGGTGCACAAGCGGTGGGCGGCGCCAATCGATGGCCTCGACCACCTCCCATCCTGGCCTCCTCCTCCGGCTCGTCGGGCGCGGGCCATGTCCACGTGACATGATGTGACTGATGTCGGGGTGCATGCCCGGCCAATGGTACTTCGCTGCCACCCTCGTGATTGTCTTCCGGCTTCCCATGTGTCCGGCCGTCGGCATATCGTGGTTCCCATCAATGACTCGCTGCCCTGATCCGGTTGGTACGCGTAGCTTCCATGCGATCACATACTTGTTGGCCGCTCTGTGAGGAATGTGCCGGTACAGCCGTTCGGCATTCACTAAGTAGTTCGGATATTTTTGGGGGTTCTGGGCTATCTTGCCCTTCTTGTCCCTTATCCAGCTACATTCGGCTTGTTCCTTCGGTTCACCTGGTAGCTTCGTCTTTATCCTTAAGCAGGTTTGCGGCAATGGCTGCCTTGACAGTGCGTCCTCCACAATATTCAGCTTGCCTTTCCTGTACTCGTTTTCGAAGTCGTATTGTTGCAGCTCCAGTGCCCATCAAGCTCTCGATGCTATTCAACCACTTCAGGGCCATGTGATCTGCTATCACTTTGAAGTGGTATCCCTCCAGGTAAGGCATTAATTTCCTTATGGCCCACACAATGGCTAAACATTCCTTTTCAGTGGCCGAGAAAATTTTCTCCGACCCATTTAAGGTCCGTTTCATTCCCATTCAGAACCATTTCGGAAAAGGGCGTTCAGCGGATGCACTAGCGTGGCCAAATCTGGCACAAAACGCCATTACCAAGATACCACTCCCAAATACCGCAGCAGCTCCTTGACAGTTGCCGGTGGATATCTTCTGCGAAGCCGTCCAGATGCCCTGGTCTGTAATGCGATGCTCTAAGTATTGAAGTTTCTTCCTGAAGAATTTAAACTTATCAGCGTTTACTTTCAGATTCGCCGCCTGTAGTCTTTTAAACACTTCCTTTAGGATTCGCATGTGCTCTCCTAGCATCCGTCCGATATCGATAATATCATCCAGATACGCAAAGGCGTGCGGCATCATTTTGGGTCCTATAACCTGGACCAACGCCCGTTGGAATGTTGCTGATGCCGGGTGCAAACCGGAAGGTATAACTTTCCATTGGAACAGACCTTTCCCGGGCACTGTAAATGCGGTGTACTGCCTGCTGGCTGCCTCCAACGGTATCTGCCAGTACCCGTCCTTTTGGTCGAGGCTGCTAATGTATTTAGCTTCCCGCAGTTGGTCCAGGATATAGTTGATCATCGGAATTGGGTATGCATCTTTCACAGACTTTACGTTAACTTGCCTGAAATTCACACACAGCCTCCATTTCCCGATCTTCTTCCTCACTATTGGTGAGCTGTACGATGCAGCTTTTTTCGAGTAGCTCGTCTACTTTGGCGTTGGATTTTCTCTGCATTTTTGGATTTTTCGAATAGTACCGCTGTTTGACCGGCTGATCGTCCTTCATGGTGATCCTGTGTACCGCCACGCTTGACGTGCCTTGCAGGTTTTCCAGGAGCCCTCCGGGGATTCCGTGACTGCTACCGACAGTTTTTCCTCCAGTCAACCTCGGTGTCTGTCCTTCGCCGGTATCACAACGCTGTGACCTGCGTAATTCACCACGGCTCTGATTTTGGTGAGTAAGTTCCATCCTAGCACCAGTGCGTCGATCAATCCTGGTAGGATCAGTAGCTGCATTGATACTGTTCTTGTGCCAAGTCCGATTTAAATCTCTAGCTGCGATTTTATGTCTCCGCATCTTCCGTCCGCCATTCGTACTTGCCTTTTTGTGGCTCCAACCTTTCCTGCCGCCTGCAGCCTGTCCACCAGCTCGCGTTTCCCGAACAGCACTGCACCGTTCTGTCACCTATTTTTCCGCATTGCCAGCAGAACGTGAGTCGGCGATTCCGGCATTGCCGCTGCAAGCGTCGGCTGTATTCTGTATGAATCCACGGCGATCGGCTGGTGGTCCATGTCCCTGTAGCGTATGCCTCTGTGGCCGTCCGTGTCCTCCTGGCACGGCCTACAGACCGAACCTTTCTCTACCCTTGGCCTTGGCACTGGGTGGTTCTGCATCCTTTGTTTTTGGGAATTGTTCTCCAGTTCTGCCAGCGTCAGGGTGTCCGACCCTCATACGGCCGCATAGATATTTGGAGGGCCGGCGTGCTGTTCTCCCTGATCCTGTTCAGGACTTCCTTGGCCGCATCACCGTCTGCATGTCCACCATGTAGTATTTAAACTTTTCTCCGTATGTCTGCCTCCTCTGCTTGACCATGTCCGCTAGCTTCTCCATGTATCCTCAAGGAAGGAAATAGCCTTGGAAGCTGTATATGAAATCTCCTCAGTTGTCCCACTGTCGGTTGCTGACTATGAACCGCTTTGGGGCTTTGCCCTGTAACAGCTCTGGCATTGCCCATGTGGTCTGGCTTATATCCAGACCATAGGTCACGGCTCACCTGCTCCAGGAACTCCAACGTCTTGTCGTTGCCGTCATACCAAAAGTTCCACTCTCGGACTTGCTTGGCAACCTTGGCGAAGTCCTGCGGATGTGGCCGTACGCTTTCTCTCCTATCTCGGCTACCTTCTCGCTGCCTGCCGTCGCTTGCCATGCTCTGGATATCCAGGCTAGATATAAATCCTTTGGCACTTGCTGTGGTTATATTGAATTTTGGGACCGGCAGCTTCCGGAATTTATTCTCCAGATCTGACACCAACTCCGCCATGTCCGACTCTTTTGCTCTACGGTCATTAGCGTTTGCCAGGGTCTTACTCATCGCCTCTACTGAGCCCCTGAGTTCTATTCCAAGAACCTTGCTCACATCGTCAAAATCCTCCTTCCTGAGAATATAGATCCAGATCATGACAATCACTCATGGTTTTTTTTAAATCAGTAAAAAGTTTTAAGCGCAGTGAAGGAGACCTTTCTTTATTAAGTGTATATATTCTTAATCAGCATCACTAGGAGAGTCTATCTAGCCGCCTGGCCGTTTCCACCTATAAAAGTAATCTATTGCAGGTAAAATATAAGTCGGAATTTCGCTGTTCGGACGACTATATCATATAACTCCCATTGAAACAATCTTCACAAAAAGGAAAGAAAAATATAACTTTCAATTTTTTTGTTGGTTCTTTTTATACCCCTGCAGAGGTTATTATAATTTTGGTCTGATGATTGTAACGTTTCCGACCCCATAAGGTATATATATTCTTGATCAAGATCAATAGGTAGGGTCGATGTAGCCATGTCCGTCTGTTCGTCTGACCGTCTGTCTGTCTGTTTCAATAACGTTTGCGAGTCAGTTTAAAAGCTAGCTATCTGAAACATTCACAGTCGTCCTAACACATGTGTACGCAAATATAGTTTGAAGGCGACCCGATCAGACGTCTATATCCTATAGCTCCCATAGGAACAATCGGATAACTTGCAAGAATTGAAAATATTTCGCGCAGTGTAATAGCAATTGCATCAATCTTTCCAAATCGTATTTTTATGCATATCGGACGTCCATATCCTATCGCTTCCATAGGATATGGGGGCCAGAATTTATAGGTAAATAAATTTGAACAAATTTAGAGAAATATATTTTGCCATACAAATTCGGATATTCCTCAAGTCACACGTAGAGTGTATCGCTGACATGATCGCATAGGGCGCTCTCCTTCGCGCAGAACAGTAGCCTGCGTAGGAAGAAAACAAGCGAAAAAAGCTTAGGAAAATTCCATGAAAGTTAGGCAACGTTACGTTAAGCGTCTACCTGCTTAAGCTAGTCGCATCGTTCACTCGCGTTGACTGAGTCGCATAGTGCGATCTCTCTTGTGCGTCAGCGAAAGT